TTTTTTTTTTGAAAGACCCTTGTGCAAGGCCTCTATCCTGGTGGTGGTCAGAGAACCACCAGTCTTGTAGAGAAGTTTCTCATAAAATCGTCGAAGTATCCATCAGGAGACCCTCTTGATCCCCCGGACGTCTCTTACCAAAAAAATAAATAAAAAAAATAAAAAATAAAATCAGAAAGCTTATATGAGTTTGAAAGTAGAATCCTGCCTCTTCAGCCCATTCTGGGCCGCGAGATACAGTGAGTCAGTCTAGGCAGATCTACCTTAAAAACACCAGCAGCATTCGAAAATAGAGAATTTTAATCTTGCAAATTTGATCCTACATTGTCCCTCAATCAAAACACTCCATATTAAGTTATTAACCAGCCCTTGCTCAGAGGAAACTTGATGAAATACAAAAGACTGAAGTCACTGAACAGAGAATAGACTTGAGTATTTGCCCACCCCCCCACCCACCCAACAAAAAAAAAAAAAAAAAAAACAACAACAAAAACAACAACAACAACAACAACAACAACAAAAAAAAAAAAAAAAAAAAAAAAAAAAGAAAAAAAGCCGTCCCCTCATCTACCAAACCCATCCATATCCACCAAAGCTAGTAGCTCAGAGGGAGGAAAGGGATCAGGGAATAATTCTGGAGATCTCAGTGAACTTTTTTTTTATTTTTATTTTTTTTATTTTAGATCTCAGTAAACTTCAGGTGTTGAGCAGATCTTGAACCATTCCTGAAAGGAAATATGGTAGTCTCTCTTGAAAGTTGAAAAAGAGACATTCTCCCCTTCCCCTCCTGTCCAAACCACATCTCTCTCCCAGTCTCTCCCCAGAGGCATCCCCCCAACCATTCCAGAATCCAGTGTGAATCTCAGCATTTTTTTTATTTTATTTTTTTTAATCCCTCTTTAGATGCAGACTCCCTAATTCTCTTTTTAATTTGACCCATTGAAAACAAACGTGCACACATTATCAAACATGAGGTCAAGGGATCGAGGCCCGCCAATTCAATTCAACGACTTCAATTGACATTTTTTAAGAAATAAGAAAGAAAAGAAATAACGCGAACAACCAGATGGACACAACCAGAGCCTACTACTTACCAGCAGCATAGGTGTCACCGGTGGCAGACCACTCGTCTGGGGTGTAGATGGGACTGCACACACAAAACAGAAAAGCACAAGGGTATCTATATCTCAGAAGGGGTGCGCAGCATTTCGACAGACGAACGAGATACAGACGGATACGGACAGACGAACGAGCAGACCGAGAGCTGTACAACTTCAAAAAAAAGGGAAAACAAAAGAAAAGGAAAGAATACAAAAAGAAAAGGAAAACAAAAAGAAGAAAGGCCAGGTCAGAGGAAATGGAGTCAGTGGGAAAAAGTGCCACATCTGTCAGAGGGTCTCTCTCTCTCCCTCCCTCTCTCTCTCTCTCTCTCTCTCTCTCTCTCTCTCTCTCTCTCTCTCTCTCTCTCTCTCTCTCTCTCTCTCTCTCTC